AAAAATGAAATCAGAAATAATTTCTCAGATAACAGCAAAGATTGTGCCCATAGTGCAAGACATGATTAATAAATCTAGAGAGGACACAGATCATTGATTAAAGACATTGAAGAGGAAACAAAAAAATGGAAAGATATTTCATATTCATTGATTGGAAGAATTAATGGTTAACATATCCATACTAAAAGGAACCTACAGATTCAGTATAATTCATATCAAAATACCAGTGACATTCCTCAAAGAACTAGAACCCCCCCCCGAAATTCATATGGAACCCCCCTCCACACACACCTGAATAACTGAAGTTTTCTTGAGCAAAAAGAATAAAGCAGGAGGCGTTACACTACCTGACTTCAGAATACCACTCAAACTTGCAGTCATCAAAACAGCATGGAATGGGCTGGGATATAGCTCAGTAGTAGAGCACTTGCTAGTATGTGTGGGGCTCTGGGTTCAGTCTCCAGTACCACAAAGCAAAAGCAGAAAAACAAACTTAGAAACAAAAGGAAAACAGCAATTATATTGGGATAAAACAGACACACAGACCAATGAAACAGAAAGCCTTAGGAGTAAACCTATGCCTCTCCAGCCAACCGATTTTGACAAAGATGATGATAGCATGCATTGGAGAAACGTTGGTCTTTCCATGTAATCTGGTGCTCCATTGTTAGGTGCAAATGCTTCCAAGATTTAGTTATTATGAGTTATGCTGCTATAAACATGAGTATGCATGTATCACTGTAATATGATATCTTCAACTCTTTTGGGAAGATACCCAGAAATATAGCTGTGTCAAATTAAATTTCTATTTTTAGTTTTCTGGGGGCTCTCCATACTGATTTCCATAGTGGTTGCACTAGTACATTCTCACCAACAGTATAAAAGTTAATAGAACTAGAAAAAGGTAATAGAAGTAAACAAGAAAAAGAAAATAAAAATAAGAAAATAGAATGAAAGCAAAAGAGGACAAATCAACAAACACCACCAAAATACAAACAAAAAAAGAGAAATGAGTCAAAGAATTCCTTCATGTGTTTGGGTGAGTAGTTTCTTCCACGGCCCATAGTATTGGAATCCACTAGATGCAGGTGAGGGACAGTGAGTCACAATTAGGGCCTATTTTGTTTCCACTATACCACCATTAGCAATAGAAAAGAATTCAGCAATAATAGCATGAGTAAATAGCTAAAAATTCATAAAGCTTAATAATACTATTAATTTTCATGTGAATGTTGAGTATTGTCTGTCTGAGGGTTGTACTCATCCCAGTGGCTTTTAGTATTTGTGGCCTTCTATGTGCTCCAAGTCACTGCTCTCTCTTCCTAGCTTTATGGCTTATACACATGTGAGGTGCCTCCTTTAGTCTAGCCTAAGGCCTCTTGGTCCATGCACCCTGGTATGTGGCAACCATCTAAACCAAGGCGTATCCTTGAACACATTGACACATGGGGAAAGGAAACAAACCACTGAGCTCTGTCCTGGAAGTAGGCAGCAGGAGGGGGTCAAGTGGTTCGCTGCACTTAATGCCAGCTCTTTCAGACCCAGCCTCCTTAGGAAACTACACAGGACCAACCTGGCTTCTTATCACAGAGGGTGGGACCACCATGTCCTCCCAGCCTGAGCTCATAGATACTTAAACTTCTCAAGGGATCTGTGACCAGGCTGCTCCCTCTCCAAGACTGTCTCATGTGGCCGTCTCCCGCCCACTCACTGTGATATGGTGACTCCAGAAACCCTGAAGTATGATTGTTCTGTGACTTCTGATACCTGGAGTAGCTCAGTCTTAAACAAGGAGAATTCTCAAAATGGTTCCTGATGATATCACTCCCATATATGATTGGCGCTGCAGTGGATTTCTTTTCCAGCTCTGGCCTGCCATGTGGAAGGAATCACTTTCAGAGTAAAACCCCACACTGCATTTGCAGCTTATGGTGGCCATAGGCTTTTCTTGGCTCTAGTAATGCTGACCCTCTTGAGCTTACCTTGTGCTTGTGGAGCCACGTCCTTTTCCCCAGGAGCTGGGGTTAGCATCCCAGACTGCTTTGCTTTTTTCTGTCTTTTCTTCAGTTTCCCTGTCAGTTCTTTCTTGATTCCTGGAGCTCTTCTTTTGCTTTTTGCTAAGCTGCTGTTTTTCAGGTGCCTCGATTCCATGTCCTGGAGAGGCTGTGATATGCTGTGGATCTTTACTCTATCATCAGGGCTACAGCCAAAAATATAGACATTGTCCCTCTCTCTTCTCTTTCTGGAACTGTATTACAGATTTTCACTTTCTTTCTTTTTTTTTCTTATCCTTTATTCTGTTTTGTTTTTGTTTTTTGCAACACTGGGGATCAAACCCACTGTGCTGCATCCCAACATTTTTTTATTTTTTATTTTGGAACAGAGCATCACTAAGTTGCCCAGGCTGACCTTGAACCTGTGATTGTCCTGCCTCAGTTTCCTAAGGAGCTGGGATTACAGGTGTGTGCCACCATGTCCAGCATCTGTACTTTTAATTTTTTTATCTCTTGCATTTAGATACTTTACAGGGCCATTTTCTAGTATACTAATTCATTTTTCATGCTATATTCAATCTTCTGGGTTGGAGCCAAAATATAAGCTATCTATATAGACAATCTTCTGAAAAACATGAATTATCTGTTTTTGATTATATACTTTGGTGAATATCTATAAATTTGACTAAATCTAAAATCACTGCTTTTTTTTTGCATAGTCTCAAGCTTGACTTCCTTTAAACATATTGTAGTTGCTATATAGGCTGGATGTGATGATGTCAGAATCCCCAAAATGTATATTTGTTTTACTTTTTTCTGCTGGTTCCCATAATACCATGTCTCCTTCCATGCCTGGTCATCTTTGTGTTCTACTCATTGTCCTTGAAAAATTATTTGTGAAGATTCCTTGAATACCTACAGTGAAGTTGCATTCCTCTAGAGGGAATGTTTGCTTTTGCTGGGTTCTTAAGTACATTACCAATCTGGAAGCATTTTAAATTGGATTAAAAGGTTTACCTTTCTTTCACCATCCAACATAATACAAATTTTCCTAACGCATTCTTCTGCAATTCAGGTTAAGATTAGTGTTTGCCTGGGGTTTAAGATATTAATTTGGGGCTGCACAAGGGAGCTGTGTTGGAGTGAGAATTCTGTATCTGAATTGTGGTTGTACGGTAGTTACTTGAAGCTGTACACGATAGACATGGAGCTGTGATAAACAAACTATACATGTACCTGTATATGTTGCATAAAGATGCATATGCGCGCGCGCACACACACACACACACACTCACATACAATGAGTGCATGTGTGACTGAACGATCCTGGTAAACTCTGTGGAGTGTTCCAGTGTCAGATACCTGTTTTTATATTGTGCTGTTGTTATATAGGCTGCTGACACTGGAGGAGGCTGAGTGACTGAGTGACTGCAACTACTGGTGAATCAATAATTACTTTAAATTGAAAAGTTGAAAAGGGTTTTTTTTTGCAGCTTGAGTCATATATTTTCTGGGTTGAAAAGATGTTTAGATACCTTTGTTTTAAATCAAAAGACCATTACCACATGCCTCTTCCAATTTTATTGAGTTTAAAGATTGTTCACACCATCCTTACAAAGTAGCTTTATGTCAAGGTGAGGTTTTTGGAGAGAATGTATCCTTCTAGGCATGAAGCAACTAATGAAGTGCCAAGCGTTGCCTGCAGTTTAGGAACCCAGCCTGGAGAAGTCTGGTGTGTAGGGGCAGAAAATGTGGTCCCCAAGGTTACTCAATGTGGTACCAGAAAAGGCCTCACCCTGGAGAAATAGGACTGTTGTTGCTAAATGTTTTTGTATGAAGATTAGAGGAGGAATGATAACAAAGCTGTCAAGTGGTAACCTGGAGGATTACGGGATACAGGTTGTTACGTTTAAAAAAAGTTTGATTAGGAAATATTTGTATTATTTAGTAGTTGCATTCCTTTTGGGGAATTCAGGTTGTTAAATTTTTATGGTAACTATGCTTTTACTTGGAAAATGTATATGAATGATTTTTGACTTAAAGCATTTTATTTTATAGGAAATAAATGTTAAGATGGAGAATGATTTCAACTCCGAGTCATCACTATCTGCCTTTACTCTTCAGAGTTCTTCAGAGACAATGTTTTCCATTCAGCTGTTAGATTTCAAAACAAGTTTACTGGAGGCGTTGGAAGAATTGCGTATGAGAAGGGTAAGGTCTTTCTGAAAACAAATTTTAATTGGAGAGCTTGTTTTTTTCCAGTTTTTAAAATTTTGTTTTTCAAGGAAAAAAATACCTAACAAAATAACCCTTCACTTAGAAAGAAAATATGCAGTCCAAATAATGAAGTGAAAGACCATAGGACAGATTAAGTCTGATGTTCAGCCAGGTATAATGACACAGGCCTGCAGTCCCAGCATCTAGGAGGCTGAGGCAGGAGGATCACAAATTTGAGCTCAGCCTGGGCAATCTGGGCAACCTAGTGACTTAGTGAGACTCAGTCTTAAACAAATAAAAAGGGCTGAGGTTGTAGTTCAATGCAAAGGCCCTTGGTTCGATCTCCAGTAACACACACACACACACGCGCACACACACACACTAGCTGATAATCAGGAAATGGGAAATAAGAAAATTTGGAAACTAAAGTAAAATAATAGAAAGAGATTTTCAGATTGTTAAATATTTCATGATCCGTTACTATTGAGTCTTTGGGAATGTATGGATAGCACTAGTTAGACAGTGTGGCTGCTCTTGGGAGATTATATTTTTGTGAAGTATAAGATAGGCACCCAGAAATGATTATATAATGAAACAAAGCAGCACATGAGTGAGTGATAAAATAAATGTGTGGATTAAGTATTCTGAATGCAGAATCAAATGTCCTTATTTTTAAGTGATAACTCAGGGTTTTAAGAAGAGCTATCTAGTGTATAATTGTAAGAGATTCTGGTTTCAGCAGGTCTGTGCTGTGCAAATCCCCTCATGAAAAGCATTTCAGTTACAAGTTCATTGCATTGATCTAAGTTTGAATAATACCTGTTAACTCTGTGTAGACTAGATTGGAGCTGGTATAGGACAGAAGCAAATACAGTAAGAGTGTTGCACACTGATGTAAAGATGAGGAGAGGGAGACTTAACACAGGACTGGGAAGACAGAACAAAAGAGGCAGAAAGAAGAATTGATAGAATTTGGTGACTGCCTTAAAATAAGATATAAGTGTGAGACAAAGATCTGAAACAAACATTATTATAAGATGAACTTTGCTCTGGAATTTAAAATTATTGGAATTTATTGGTATAATAAGAAAATTTAAATAATATAGTGTTCATCCTATCTAAAGCTACTTGTTAGTGTAGCAAAAATCAGTTTAAAGAAAAAATTCTGCTGCCACAGGGTATCTTGGATAAGCATTATACAGAAATATTTTTACAGAATTGGCTTAAAAGGTCACTTTTTTTGAACCTTAGGTCGTTATCTAATACTTTATATTCTGTTGTTGTTATTTGCAGTACTAGGGATTGAATTCAGAGCCCTCACACTAAGCTACATCCCCAGCCCTTTTAATTTTTAAATTTTCTTTTCCATTTAGTTTATTGGTACATTTTAGGTATACAGTACAGTTACATTCGTCATTGGGCTCTTGTACCTGTACATGATGTATCTTGGTTCTTATTTTTTTCCCCATTCCCCTGCCCTCCCTTCACCTGCTCCACCCTTCCCTATTTACAAAGACTTTGTTTCCATGTTTTTCCTTTTCTCATATTTTTTCTTTTCCCTTCTTTCCTTTCCCCTACCCTTCCTACTTCCCCTACTCCTTTAGACATTTTCTTCCTGTTTCACAATATCAATTATACATTTTGATTCTTATTTACACTTTTATTTTTTCACATCAGAGAAACTATTCGATATTTACATGAGTGTCCTATTTATTTCACTTAAGAATATAGCCTCAGTGTGGATCCACTTAGTTACTCATGTCTCCAGTTTCTCATTCTTTATGGCTGAGCAGTACAATTTTTAAATTTTTTTATTTTGAGACACTATCTTGCCAAGTTGGCCAGGCTGGGGTCCAAATTGGGATCCTTCTGCCTCAGCCTCTCAGAGTGTGGGAATTACAGATGTGTATACCACACCTGGCTATGTTGTTTTACTGTGTTTCATACATTCTGTTTTGGTCCGTTTATATTTTCAACTTGAAAGGAATGTTTCTGTTTTGAAATCTTCTGAAAAATTTAGGGTTAGCAAAGGAATAATGTTTTTTTTTGGTTTTTATTTTAAAAATATTCCCCCAAACTTCATTTTACTTAGCTTTTTGACTTTCAGCTTGTGCTGTCAACACTTTCAGGATGATTTTCCACTCCTTGATAAGGAAAGCATGCTTGATCCTGTCATGGACACATTTAGCACACATGGGACTGCACTGTAAGCTTACTGACATGTTTTGCGCCCCCCCCCAAGAATTCAATTAAATATTTATTGAATGCAGAATAAATGATCTAAGGGACATTTTAATCTGAAAATGTAATAACATCAGTTTTCAGAGGGCTGTCACACAAAGAATGAAGACCTGTTCAACATTTCTTCAAAAGTAGAACTTGAAACAAAGAAAAATACAGGCAACCATCAGGCTGGGGAAGTCGTACAAAGTGTATCGCTTATCTTGATAGCTTCTTTCCCCATGTAATACATTCCACACTTGATATCTTAACAGATATCTCCAAGGAAGGGAGATAGCTGAATTTACTATTTCTCATGACCATTCTAAGTTGCACTTTCATAGCAAGCCATCCTCTGCTAGCAATGGGTATACTCATACTACTGGAAGAACATCTAACATCAACAAACTGGTTTACTCAGGAAATGTTGATTTGTTTCTCAGCTACATTTCAGTATTCTACCTTAGTGATTCTTGGGAGGTGGGAATAAAAGAGAGCCTATTCTCCCAAGGGTCATCACAATCCCAGCAGTTCAGGTACTGCCCTGGGGACAGCCCTCCTCCCGCCCCAGATGCAGCACTACAGCCACCCCTTCGGGTGTGGGAGTGCAGAGTGTGCTCGCTGGGCCAGGAGAAGACACCTGAGGGCCCTGAGTCTACAGGAGGTAGGAGAGCTTATTCATAAGTTACTAGGGTACATACACTAGCTGCAGACTACTGACAGCTCCAACCAAATTGTTACATTGTACAAAATGAGAATTGCTCCAACTATTTGGCATAATATTTAAGGACAAAATATATATGGTATACTTTATATCATATATGGCATTTTATCACATATTCCATAAGGAATGCCAAGGTGCTTAATCCATCCAGTACATTGAAAATAAAAATTTTACAGTTCTCTATTTGTCAGTGTGCAGGATTCTGAAGGTAGATCTTGAACTTTATGATGAGTCAGTTTCCAAGGAAAGCCACATAATCATCAGCCTGGCTAACTGCTGTTCAGGGGGGATTGGAGCCATGGGGTGGGCTCTGACAAGGGAATAAGTCTGTTAAAGGGAACATGCAGGGCCCTGCAACTGGAGAAAACCATTCTTGTGCAGAGTCCCCTTGCCATGCTTGTTCAAGATACTTTCACTGCTTCTTCTACAGGAAGTCCAGCAAAGGCTGCAACTTCAGCAGTGATTACCCAGGTGTATACTTGAGCATCCAGGGCAAAGGCTTGGCTCCTTGTTGCATCATCTCTGAGTGTTTCCACAGTTGGCTGCACCTTCCTGGACCACTGGTGACCGATGATGGTCCTATAGCTCCTAGGGAAATCTCTACACCAGATTCTTTGTCCTACTAATTTCCTCCAAGTTCAGAATTTGCAGATTATTTAGCAGGTGGCAGCCTTTTCCAAAGATATCTTCCATTATTCGTGTCATTGTGGAACAAATACAAGGCTAGAAGCTGACCATACTTTGGGCTTGTGGCAGTTCCTCTTGAGCCTTGAGTCCTCCCCTTGATCCAGCACTTTTTAGAAACTGAAGGCCTTTTCCGCCATCACCCCTATTGGCTTCTTCCCCACTGGTCTTGCTCCTGTGGCAACTTCCAGACCAGACTCCAGATTGACCCTCAGGGCAATGTGCTGTGATGACCCCACTAAGCACCCTGTTTTTCCTTTTGACACCTCCTCAAAAGGTCGTTAGGGCTAATGGTGTGAATCCTTCCTGGGCCACCTGGGCACACACCAAATTCAGATTTTGGTACTTTCCAGCCTTCTTGGTGTAAAGGTAAATGGTTCTCTTGCCAGGGTTAGGATAGGCTGCCTTGGTTAGAGGCTGTATTGCAGGGAAGCCCCCCATGGAAGGTCAAACACTGCCCCATCTGAGTGCCTCTAACGCTGTAGCAGAGGAGGAGGAGTAGTGTTTTTAATATCCAAATGTGAGAGCAAATACTGCTTTCAGTTAAATTCCTCATTGAAAAGGGAGCCTTTTTCTTGAAAGGAGGGAAATTTCTCCCTTCAAATTATTGATTTTCACATTTGCCCTGATAACATTTTATTGATATTCTTGGATTTTAATTTTTTCCCAATATTTTCTTAGGAAACTTTAAACATACACAATAAATTTCACAGTGAACACCTGTATAACCACTATGGTGTCAGAATCACAGCACCCAAAGATGTTCACAGCCTGACTCTAAGAACCTGTGAGCATGTTAGCTTCTGTGATGACAGGGATTCTGTAGATGTGGCATTGTGAGAGGAAGTCAGTTAGATTATGTTGGCAGTCCCAGTGCAATCACGAGGGCACTTCTGAAGAGAGACAAAAGAATCCGGGTCAGAGAGAGGGACGTGCAGAGGGAAATTGGCCTTACTGGAGGAAGAGCTTTGAAGATGCAGGAAGGGGCCACGAGCCAAGGAGTGCAATAGGTGGATGCTGAAAGAGACAAGGAAAGGTTTATCCCCTGTATTCTCTTATTGTTGTTGTTTTAAATTGCTAAGTTTTGGAGTAGTTTGATGTGCTAATTAGATAACAGAATCAGATGTGTGGAATATTGTGTAGCTATTAAAACAATGAGGTAGGTACATACAAACACAGAAGATGTGTGTGCTACAGGAACTCTTTCTCTTTACAGTTCTCTATTTGTCAGTGTGCAGTGCGATAGTGTGAGCCCATACAAATGACACTACACGCTAAGACCAAGCAAAGTGATCTTAAAAATCAATGATAAAATTCCCGTACTTGGCACCCACAGATTCAGGAGGATCCCAAGTTCAAGGCCTGC